CCGCCCGCGCGCCGGATCTCCAGAAACGGCAGTTCCCTGCACTTAAAGGAGCCGGCGTTTCCCTTTTAAGCGCAGGAGCCGGCGTTTCCCCTTTAAGAGCGGCCGCGTTTCCCTTTTAAGTGCACGAAGCTGGCATTTCCCTGCAAGCCTGAACTCAAGCGGAGATCGGGCTTGGGAGGAAACACGGGCTTGGGAGGAAACCTTCCCACCCTTTCCTGACATGAAGCATCTTCCCTATGAGGAAAGGTCGGAGCATCTGGGACTTTTCAGTTTAGAAGAGAGATGACTCGGGGAAACATGATAGAGGTTTATAAAATTATGCATGGGGTGGAGAGAGTTAACAAGGAGAACTTTTCCTCCCTCTCCCCAAATACTAGAACTCGAGGGCATCCAATGAAACTGATGGGCAGTAGGTTCAGGATGGACAAAAGGAAACACTACTTTACACAGAGAGTGGTTCCAAAAAACGGGGAGCCCTGGAAAACCGGGGGGGTTGGCAACCCTAGGGAGGGAGGGAGTGCATTCCCCAAAAGAAGACCAGCCGGAGAAAAAGGAGGGAGAGAGGGCGTGGAGCAAGGGGCCGTGTGAATGAGCGGGAGGGGGACGGAAGGCCGCGCCCCGATCATGAGGAGGCGGGCAGGCAAGACGGATATTAAATGGAAAAGAGGAAGAGGAAGAGGAGGAGGGATAAAGGGCTGGGGCGGAAAGGTGAATCAGGGCTCCAGAAGGGAGCGCCAAGGAGAGGAACGGTCCCTTTGTGGGGAGCTTTCTGTCTAATTCTGGGGACACTTTCAGCCATGAAGGTTGCCGACACAGTGGACGACCTGGAGGAAAGGGTTAAAGAGGCTGACGACGACTACACAGCCAAGAAAAAAACATATAGTGAGTATCTCTCTCCTCCCCCTGCCGCAAACATGGTGCCTGAGCCCTCTACAAGACGACCAGAGAGGGCAGCTCCAAGCACTGAGGAGGGTCTGTGTTCAGGAAGCAGATGGCCAGAAGGCCAAACATAACACCCTCATATCCAGGCATGCCCGCTTGCCCATATTTGTGGCACCTGGCATCATCCTTGTCTGCACAGGCTGTTCCTCTGTCACTTTTTGGACTCCCTGGCATTGGAGAGGGCATCCATTCTTTACAACCAGGGTTCTGAAGTCCCCCGGTTTGGTGTAGTGGTCAGGAGCGCGGACTCTAGTCTGGGAGAACCGGGTTTGATTCCCCACTCCTCCACGTGCAGCTGCTGGGTGACCTTGGGTCAGTCACAAGTTCTCTCAGAGCCGTTCTCTCAGGAGCAGTCCTTAAAAGAGTGTTCTCAGCCCCACCTATCTCACGGGGTGTCTGCTGTGGGGAGGGGAAGGGAAAGGAGATTGTAAGCTGCTCTGAGACTCCTTTGGGTAGTGAAGGGCAGGGTATAAATGCAATCTCTTCTTCTTCTTTTACCTCACAGGGTGTCTGTTGTGGGGAGGGGAAGGGAAAGGAGATTGTAAGCCGCTCTGAGACTCCGTTGGGTAGTGAGGGGCGGGGTAGAAATCCAATCTCTTCTTCTTATCAGGTCTGTCTCCAGAACAACCCTTTGAGATAGTTTGGATGAAAGTCTGTGCCCCCCACACACCATGCGGGATACCCAATATGCCAGGGGTGTCAAACATGTGGCCCAGGGGCCGGATCAGACCCCCAGAGGGCTTCCATCAGGCCCACAGTGGAACTGGCCACCTCCTGCTTCCAGTTCTGCTGCTGCTGCTGCATCATAGCTTGCTTCGCCAGATTCTCTTAATCACTCAGCCATTTAATGTTTTCCCCTGGGCCCTAGACTCAGAGCTCTGAGCATGAGATTTCTGTGGCGAATGTCAATAAATCAAAAGTACGTTTGCAGCTTACAGTTACACACCTGAACAGCACACTCAAGATTGCAACAGCACAGACATTTTGATGCAATAATTCAGAGCAAGAGGTGTCACTGATCAGACACTGTTAAATAACCAAAATATTGGAAGAGTGCTAATGTTTTAGGCATGTCTTTATTTTAAGTTAAAAATATCTTTGTGTCTGTGTCCTTTATAAAGTTTATCTCTCCGCTGCCTGGCATTGCATTTTATGACACACCCGGCCCGGCCCAACAAGGTCTCATTTATGTCAGATCCGGCCCTCACAACAAATGAGTCCGACACCCCTGCAAGATGCCAAGCACCATGACCTGACCGTTTTCTTTCCTTGCTTCTGCCCTCTTAGAAAACAGCTTCGAGAAAGCGGCAAAGAGTTCCGTCCCCTGGAAGGTACACGGAGAGAGCCTCTATTACTTTGCCAGAGAACAGAAAACCTGGTATGACGCAGAGAGATTCTGCATTTCCAGAGATTCGCATCTGGCTTCTGTCCTCAACGATGAAGAGCAGGTATGTGGAGTCATTTCCTTCTCTCCCCCCCCCCCACAACATCCCTCAGCAAAGTGCTCTGTTCCGTTTTATAGGCACCTTCCTCTCTTCCAGTACATGCGGTGGCTCAGAGGTTAAGGACGCTGAAGCTGCAGACCAGAAGGTCTGTCGCTTGACAGTTCGAGACCTGAGTGTGCCGCGTGACGGAGTGAGCTCCCGTCTCTGGCCCCGGCTCCTGCCAACCTAGCAGTCCGAAAGCAAGAAATTGCAAGTAGATAAATAAGGGTGGATTGAGATAGTTTGGATGGTAACAATGTCAGCATACAATAAGGTATGGAACAAGATGACAGTCTATGAAGCAATGTGGTGGAGATCATTCTGATCTGGGTGACAGCTAAGTGTATCATATGACCCTGTCACCAGGCAGAGATTGCATCTCTCTTGCATCAGCGTGCATGATGTAAGAAAAAAGCCTGATAAAGGGCCAATATTAAAAACCGAGTTGAAAGACAGTTAAAAACATGTAAGGGCCCAGTGAAAGCCTTGTTAAAAAGCAGGGGTCATTTCGTAGAAAAAGAGGTGCAGGAGCTCATTAGCATAACTCATTAGCACAACTCATTTGCATATGCCACACCCCCTGACATCACCGGAAGTGTGTCAGAAGGCAACACCCACCGCTCAGGCTCCACTGGACTGTTTTGAAGAAAAAAGCCTGATAAAGGGCCAATATTAAAAACCGAGTTGAAAGACAGTTAAAAACATGTAAGGGCCCAGTGAAAGCCTTGTTAAAAAGCAGGGGTCATTTCGTAGAAAAAGAGGTGCAGGAGCTCATTAGCATAACTCATTAGCATAACTTATTTGCATATGCCACACCCCCTGACATCACCGGAAGTGTGTCAGAAGGCAACACCCACCGCTCAGGCTCCACTGGACTG